CCACCTGGCCTTGGCCGCTCAGGGCAGGAAGTCGCCGCCCCCACCAACACTTCTGAGACTTTTTCCTTTATTTTTTTTAAACGTTCATGGTGTTTAAAATAATTTTTTTTCAAGAAAAAATAAAATTTCATAATCAAATCATAGAAGAATAACAGTAGTTATTGTAATACTGTGCATTCTTGTCTTCAACTTATAGTACAAGACATAAGCCGAAAAGATTCCTACAAAAAAGAAACAAACATAATAACATAAATCTTTCTTTTCAATCGATGAGTCGTACCAGTGAAACCAATTAGCATATATATTGAAATAGTTTTAAAACAACAGAATTTGTGGGGAACCATAGGAACGTCTCCCTGTTTGGTATTTATCTCACTTCTGTTTTATTCTTTCTTTGGGTTTCTTGCATAAGAGAAACTGGTGTTTGAGCTCATGCGTCTGACTTATGCCACGAAACATCATGACATCGAATTGCATCCGTTCACCTACGAATGCCTAGAGTTTGTCTTTATGTAGGGCAGAGTGGTGTTCCTTTTACTCTGTTAGCCTGCTAAACTTTATTTTTTCAATTCTCTCTGGTTTTCCTTTTTTTTTAATTTAATTTTTTGTTTGTTTGATTGGTTGGTTGGTTTGCTTTTTGAGACAGGGTCTCACTATGTAGTTGAGACTGACCTGGAACTCACTGTGTAACCCAGGCTGGTCTCGAACTCACAGCGATCCTCCTGTCTCAGGCTCCGGAGTGCTGGGATTACAGCCGTGCACCACCACACACCTGGCGTTTGTTGTTGTTGTTGTTGTTTTGTTTTGGGTTTTTTTTGGTACTGGGGATCGAACTCGGGTCCTTGTGCTTGCAAGGCAGGCGGCGAAACAACTGAGCTAAATTCCCGGCCCTAATTTAATTTTATTGGTACATTTTAGGTATATAATATAATGACATTCATCATTGGAAATTTGCGCCTTTACATAGTCCATCTTGGTTCTCGTTTTTTCCCCACTCTCCTGCCCTCCCTTCAGCCCCTCCACCCCTCCCTATCTACAAAGGCTTGTTTCCATTTGTTCCTTTTCTCATATTAATTCCATTCCCTTCAGCCTCCTAAACTTTAGAGTCAAATATCAAGACATCTTTCTTTCTCTTTGTTTGAGACAAGCTCTCCCTGTGTAGCTCACCTGGTCTAGCACATGGAATCCTCCTGCTTCCGCTTCCCCACTCGTGGCCGGACCACCTGTTCCTAACGGCCTGGCCCACCTGGTTTCAGGTGGCAGAGGACAGGATCGGTCCAGAGCAGGTGGCTCGGTCGCAGGCCGTGTGGGGACCTGTGGTAGAGGCAGCTGTCCTGGGGTCCTCGCTGCTGTTCCACGCAGTGGAAGACCTGGGGATCTTCTGTGAGAGCTGGGTGATTTTCCGAACACTCCCGAGACGCCAGACCCCGGCCCTTCGGGGACTCTTGATATGGTGAGGAGGGCGCAGAGTTTCTGAGTGAAAAGGAGGCGTGATCGGTGCTTTCTAGTTTGTACAGTGACCTCAAGACTGTTCTGAGGAAGCATCAGAGAGTTTGGCATAAACCTTTGGGGGCACATTTGGTGTTCTCATGTTCCTTAACTTGAAGTATAAGTTTGGGTGTGTTTCTCTCTCTCTCTCTCTCTCTCTCTCTCTCTCTCTCTCTCTCGCTCTCTCTCAAAAAAAAAAAAAAGCCGTATGTGCATGGGGATAATTATGACATTTTAAAAGTGATCCATGCACAGCTGTGTGGACAGCACTGCTGTTCATCAGAGCTAAATCTGGAAGCAGCCTTCGTGTCCATCAACAGATGAATGGGGAAAGAGGATGTATTTATACACGATGAAGTACTACTCTGCCGTGAAGAAGGATACACTCCAGCCATCTATTGGAAAACGGATGCACCTTGAGACCACAGTGTTAAGTGAAATAGATCAGTCACAAGAGCTTAAAACATTATGTGTTTTCTCTTATATGAGAAGCCCAAAGTATAAATAAAAGACAATAGAAAATAGGGAGGTGGATCTTTCTCAAAGAAGAAGGAGATCAAGAGATGGGAGGGAGAGGAGAGGAGGGGATGAGAGAAGGATTAAAGATGTGTTGTGTATGTGCCCCGACTCCACACAAGAAAGGCAAACTCTGCGTACTGCAAAGCGAGCTAAACATAAAGGAATGAAACATAAAAGTTACAGGTACACCAGAAACTATTCATCCATATCATAGAGCCCCAGCGGTACCTTAATGTATTGTTTCCTGTTTTTGTAGACTGTCCAGACTGTTTAGAAACCAACCAAGCAACCATTAAATCAAGAAAGAAAGGGACAGGGAAAGGAAAACAAGAAGAGTCGGGTCACTTTCAGAATGGAAGAAACCTTTAACACTGGACAGTAGTTTTCTTTCTTTCTCCATTTTAGGACATTTAAAACAAAAGTGCGCAGATGACTTCCTGTGCGTCCTGAGAACGCCGTCCCACACCCACGCCACGCAGGCCGTCCTGTTGTCTGGGTGCTCCGAGCAGCACCGTTTGGGGCTCAAATGCTTCTTTTCATTCCGTCTTTTTGTTTTTACGGTCTCAGAGCACAGAAGCAACAGGGAAGGTTCCGAGGGCAGAATCTGTGCACTGGCGTGGGTCAAAGGCGTCCCTGGGTTGGGTGGGGATGAGCCGCGGAGGCCGGAAGAGGGAGCTTTTCCTCCTGGAGTAAGTCAGGGAGGAGACTGCGGATGTGCTGAGCAAGACACGCGAAGCCGATCTATCCCTCCTGTGTTTCCGTGTGAAGCGTGTGGTTTGGGAGCAGCCTGGACCCTTCCTGTCGCAGAGAAAGGCCTGCGGGGTGCCGTGCGGTCCTGTAGCTCCCAGGGGGGCTGTGCCACCCCACGGTGCGCCTGCCCCTTCTCACCTCGCTGGTCTCTGCAGCAGAGTCCAAGCGCGCCCTTCAGCGCACCCTGTGTGCTCGGACCGTGCTGCGCTCCGCTGTCCTGTGCTGGACCAGCGGGGTCCTCCTGTCACTGAGGGCCCCGCCCCCAGCCTGTCCCCGGATCTGGGCTCCTTCGTAAGTGCTGAGGACGCAGGCCTAGCCCGGCAAAGCCGCTCTCTGGAGGATTCACTTTAAAGCACTTTTAAACATGTCCCTGCCCTCAGCTCCCGAGCCAAAGCTGCTGAGCACTGTTTTTCTGGTTCTTCTAAGCCTTCATTATTCAGTTATTCCTAAGAGGGCAAAGGCCTAGGTTTCATTTTATTTTATCGTATTGTTGTTATGTTTAGTAGTTTGAGACAAGGTCTTGCTCTGCAGTTCAGGCTGGCCTCGAACTTGCTATGTACCCCAGGCTGGCCCTGAACTCCTTGGTGATCCTCCTGCCTCAGCCTTCTGAGTGCTGGTCTTACAGGTGTGTACCCACGCCTGGATTCCAGTTTCTTTGGAAATACAGAGCACTCATACAGAATGGAAGGATAGGGCAGTGGAACCCTAACCCTTAGGAAATTACTAGCAATACTCCTGAGGCAAAATAAATTTCTAAGGATGGTTGAAGAAAATGCAGTAAAAAGAGTTTCATTTAATGTTCAGATTCCTGCTCCCTTATCCTGGTTTTTCCAGGAGTATGGCATCATTAACATTTCTGAGGAAGGTAATGGTGAATATTCTACTGACACACCTGACAGCACTCTTATTTAACCTCGTGTTAAAAAAGTAGCTGCTTTTATTCTTGCAAATAAATGCCTTTATACTGTTATAGTGATGATTTAGCGCAACAGCGTGCCCAGGCGGGTCTTGAGTGCTGACGCCCAGGTTTTACACCTCGGTACGAGCAGTTCCCAGAAGTTCTGAGGGCTGGGCATCACTGGAATTAGCAATGGTGAGAAATTGGGGTTGGTTCTGTCCTGCACCCCACGAATGCGCTATTTAATGAGGAGACGTCAGTCTTTAGAAGCGTAATCAACACACATCCGTGTTCGCCAACTGTGATTGAATCCCGGATATCTCATCTTGGCTGCGGCCCGGGCAGCCTCTGCGCTGATTTCTTCTGAGGGCTGGGCATCACTGGAATTAGCAATGGTGAGAAATTGGGGTTGGTTCTGTCCTGCACCCCACGAATGCGCTATTTAATGAGGAGACGTCAGTCTTTAGAAGCGTAATCAACACACATCCGTGTTCGCCAACTGTGATTGAATCCCGGATATCTCATCTTGGCTGCGGCCCGGGCAGCCTCTGCGCTGATTTCTCTGCGCTGCAGGGCCGCGGGGGCCTGGCACGGACCGGGTACCGTCTGGGCTGCATCACCCAGGGCGCTCATTCCGAGTTCGAATCTTCTTCCGTTCTGTGCTTAGCATCTCAAGCGCGCAGGTGTCACCATAACCGATGTAGGGGACATAAATTCCTAGCGGTTTAGGGTTCATAACATTTCCATGGGTCTTGATTGTGTGGGATGAAGGACGCGGGTCAGTCGCAGATGTCGCCGCCACGGCCGCCGAGCTGTCAGCGCGCGTCCACCGAGCGGGAGGGGGCGGCACTGCCGCTTGGGTCATTCTCGCAGCTACAACAGCTCCATTTCTGCGTCCGTCCTGTCAGAGCTGGCCTTGCGGTCCCCCAGCAAACTGATAGTTTTGCACTGTGGGGTTTATGACTCTATGTGTCAGAAAGACAGTAAGGGTCATGCACAAATTCTTTAGTCTCCAAAAGAAAAATCCCAGAGTGACAGCCCAAGAGTAGAGTTTGGCTTCTTCTTCTGTTCTTTTTTTGAGACAGGGTCTTGCTGTGTAGTTCAAGCTGGCCTTATATAGCCCAGCTGGCCTCAAAATCTCAGCGATCCTCCTGCCTCAGCCTCTCCGGTGTGCCGAGACCACAGGCCTGCACCGCCCTGCCCAGCCAGTGGCAGTAGCAGGCATGGCGTGTCGCTGGGGCAGGAGGCGTGTCGCTGGGGACAGACCAACTTCCTGGCCTCCAGAGTCTAACACCTCTCTCCTTCTGACTTCGTGTCCTAGGTAACATAGAATACAGCTGCCCTGCCACGAACGAGTGTGAGATCACGAAGCGCAGACGCAAGTCCTGCCAGGCCTGCCGCTTCATGAAGTGCCTGAAAGTGGGCATGCTCAAGGAAGGTAAGGTCCACCGGCCCGGCCTCAGGCCTGGGGGCTGGGGTGCTGGGAACCGCACAGGGGCCAGGGCCACTTGACATCAAGGAGCAGGCACCCGGGAGGACCCACAGGGCACCGGATGGTCCTGCCCTCTGGCCCACTGCAGTGCGGAGGAGAAGCAAGATGAAGGCGGGACTGCTGACTCGGTCTGCCTGCGTTTCCCCTGCTCACGAGGCTCAGAGAGCTCTCATGTCACCGTTGTCACTGTCACTGCCCTCGTGTGCCTTGTCCTTTGCTGATTCTGTCTCTGGACTTCTCTCCACCACAGTTTCTGGTGTGATATTAGAGCTGCTCTGCACTGGGGATGAAAAGGGCGAACATAAAATAGGAATGGGGCTGTGCATCCCATGGCAAACACGTTGCCTCCACTGGCGGAGGGCATAACCGGGAGGCAGGACTGGAACACAGGACTCTGGATGCCTCTCAGAGGTCCTGAGGCTTTGTATATTTCAGTGTGTCTCGTGAGGTGCCCGTTGCATCTGAGGTGGAGATAAAAATGTTCTTTCCTTGGAGGCAGCGGCTCTCCACCTCATTCTTGACTTCTTTGTGTCCCTGTGCATGTGTGTCCCAGAGGTGTGCATTGTACGCTTGTACCGAGGCTTCTGTTTCTCCCGAAAAGTCACCAGAGCTTAAGATAAATGTAATTTTATGAAGAAACAAAGGAAAATGTGGTAAATTAACCTGAGAGAAGCCTGTAATCCCCGTGCTTCTGGGAGGCTGAGGCAGGAAGATTGCAAGTTTGAGTGCAGGCTGGGGAATTTAGGGGCTTAGGAAGACCCTGTCTCAAAATAAAAAATGAAAAAAAGGTCTGGAAATATAGTTCAGTGTGAAAGCCCTGGGTTCAATCCCTAGTACCAAAAAAAAAAAAAATAATAATAATAATAATAAATAAATAAAATAAAGGAAGAAAATTAGGTTAATGAAATATTTAAATGTATAGCTTTTATGACATCAAAGAGATAGGTTTTGTTCCTGGGATTTACCTTGTAAGAAATCTGTAAATTTTGTTGTTACTGGAGAGCATGTCTTTTGGCCTTCTAAATCCAAGCAGACCCTGGATGAGCTCACCAGAAATATAGTAGTGTGAAAGCCCTGGGTTCAATCCCTAGTACCAAAAAAAAAAAAAATAATAATAATAATAATAAATAAATAAAATAAAGGAAGAAAATTAGGTTAATGAAATATTTAAATGTATAGCTTTTATGACATCAAAGAGATAGGTTTTGTTCCTGGGATTTACCTTGTAAGAAATCTGTAAATTTTGTTGTTACTGGAGAGCATGTCTTTTGGCCTTCTAAATCCAAGCAGACCCTGGATGAGCTCACCATGTTGGACAGGACTGTGGGTGACAGTGAAATTGCCAGATCTCCTGATCTTACCCAGTTTCTTGCTCCAGATTTTGCTGCCCTGTGGCCATGACATAGGAGGGCAAGTAGATCAGATTTTTGTCTGGAGCACGGAATTCATGCCAGGTTTATCCGCTCTCCTGTGCCGAGCAGGAGCAAAGGAAACCCTCTCAACCCTCTGAGAGCTCGATGCCTTCAGTTTGGTTCTTCCCTTGAAAAAGAGCCACAAACAAACAAACATAAAGCCTAACAATTAACATTAAGAAAAGACGACCAAGAGACATAGTCAAGTAAAAAATAAACAAATCGTTGGTTTATGTGTCCATGGCAGGGAGCCAGGGGAAGGCCCGGTGCAGCTGTGGGCTGTGCTGGGGCCAGGGCGCACACAGGGCAGTGAGGCCCTGGATTCCACCTGCAACACCGACAGAAACCAAAATAAAGAAAAGATGAAAAAGAGGCGGAAAAACACCTTTTGCCCTATAGCCTTTGGCACTCTGGATTTTTTAGTTAACGTTTTAAACTCATATTTTGTTTGCTAAATATTTCTTTTGCTGTGGATCCTATAGATGGAACCTAGGCCTTTTTCTTTTCTTAGAATTTCACTATTGTTGCCCAGGCTGGCCACAAACTCCTTGTCTCAAGAGATCCTCCTGCCTCAGTCTCCCAGGTAGATGGAAGGGAGCAGGGGTGTGCTGCCACGTCGGGCTCCTTGCTGAATATTTGAGGCCCTCTCATGAGACAGGCACTGTTCTGGGCTCCAGCAGTCTTGGCAGTGAAAACGCTGAAAGAACCACTTTCCCAGATTTATATATGCACAGTAGTAAGCGCACATAAGTTGGTAAAGTGTTGGATGTTTTCGCACGTGCTTACAGCACATTTCGATCCTGTCCATCCCTCCATGCCCCTCCTTTTCCATTCCTTCCCCAGCCCCTGTACATGTCTACCACTCTCCCCAAAATGACCATTTTTGACAAGGGCAACCTCACCCACCCCACCCAACCCAGGTGACGCAGACGGGTTCTTTTTCTTGCAGTGATGGTGAATGGTTACTTTGTCCGGTGAAAAGCTTTGTCCTTGCCACAGCTTCAATCCCGTAGGAGAATAACCAAGGAGACCTCATTCAGAATGTGGGCTCTGTGCCGACCACCTGACAAAATAAACAGCGTAATTCGGGGTGTGACACGTGTTGGCCGATCCACTTTTATTTTCTTTACGTTTATGTGGCTGCTGAGGTTGGGCCGTGATTTGGGCTAAACCTAGGCACATTCGCAGAAACCTAACAAAGAGTGGTTTCAAACTTGAATGTTGAGAAAAGTTTAAAAAGCAAATCAGTTTGTAAGTGTGCTAAAAGTAACTGTCATTGCACACATTTTGCGTGTCCTAGATGTGGACTTTATTTTCTAAAAAATAAAGCACCCGGAGATCCTCCATTTGTAAGGCAATGGGAGTTCAGATCACTTTGATTCCCTGGGTGTCATTTGCTGAACTGATTGTCTTTCTGGGTTTAGGGAGGAGGAAAAAGAAAACATTTCCGCTGAATAGCTTTTCCCATTGTGAACAGGGTCTCACTATGAGTTCAGGAGCGCAGGCTGCCCGGGAACTCACTATGTAGCCCAGGCTGGCTTCGAACTCACAGTGATCCTCCTGCCTCTGCCTCCCGAGTGCTGGGATTCCAGGCTTACCGTGGTGGTTTCTAACAGGAGTAAACTAAAGGGCGGTGAGAATGGAGGGAGAGAGGGAGGTCTGGGTTTGAGCACCTGGGTCTGAGTAAAGGGCAGCGTTCGTGGGCAGTTCCTACCTCTCTGGTCTTGCTTACCCAGCCGTGTCTCCGAGGCAATCACTGCTGTTTCTGATATTCTCAAGTGCTAGTTTATTTGTCTTTACTGCCTTCGGTCCACTTGGATGGCACAACATCTGTTCTGTGACCCCCCCTCCTCGCTCCTCCAGATAGAAAAGATGAGCTGTTTTTGAGTAAATAAGGAATATTTTCTTTGCTTTTGTACCTAAGAAATGCATTGCAATATTGATTTTGCCCTGCATACAAATGCACGATTACGTGTGGCCATCTCCTTGGCTCCAGCCTGGCTCTCGGAGGCTGGAGAGAATGATACCATCTTAAATGGGCCTTTATGGATGCACAGGGATTTCGGCCCCGGGCAGGATGTCAGATATCGGGACGCAGTAAATCTATTCAAATGTAAACCTGTTCGGTTCAATTACCGGTCCATAATAAAATTTGCTGCTACAACCCCCGTGTTGACCGCAGCGGTCCATACAGGCGGATGGAACAGCGGGGCTGGAAATTGACAGGCAAAAATCTATTTAAACAAAGAACCACATTAGCTCAAGAATCTGAAATGAAATCAGATTTCAGCAGCTTTGATGGGAACCCTTCTCCCCTCGAACGGGTATTTTGATTCAGCTCCGCGCCAAGTCCGCCCCAGATAAAGCGCTGCCCGGGGGATGAAGAAGATTTCATTAAAACAGTGGTTTATGGAAAAGCGGAGACCTTTGTTGCTTGAGAAGTAGTGACCGTTAGTTATACTGACTGGTTTTGGAGTAACCGAGGCACAGCGCACTGAGAATACTTGTGTGGTTGGTGGCAGCGTATTCCAATTGTATCCGTCTGTGCAGAACTGCACTCTTATAAATTAGGCCTTCTCGTTGGCCCGCACAGGGATCATATCTGAACGAAGTACGCTTCTTCCCTATTTTACCGATACAAAAATAGTTTCCAGGGGAAGGAAAAAGAAAAAGACCCAACAAAGAATGTGTGCTGGGCAAAACGACAAGATGCTAATCTACGATAGACCTGAGAGGTGCAGGTGAGCAAACAGTAATTTGTCCAGAGGCTGGAGGTTCAGAGCTCAGCACCCACAGATGCCCTGGTCTCTGTGTCTGCCCCGCGTGGTTCCATACTGCACCGCGGAGAAATCCATCTGTGACAGTGTATCTGCTCCCAACACCCCTTCCAGTTTCTCCAGGTGTTGCTTATTTGAAAGAAAAAACATGAACTCATCAAGGTGCACCTATAAATCTGCCCTAGATTTATTTTTATTTTGACCCCTCTCCTTGGTTATTTAAAGGCTGTGGTTGGACATCCTGGTTCAGTTTTCTCTCTGTCAGTAGCAAACAGAGACGTTTTATGAAAGCAATAATTATTTTACGTAGGTGTAGAACTCACTGGTCACAGCACTGAAGGACGTTCTGATATTTACTGGCACAGTGGTGTTCCCTATGGCACTCGTGTTTTCCTCTCACATTTGCAGGTGAGTGAAAGACATACATTTACACACAGGCGTGCATTCCCTGGCAAGCCAGACTCCCTGCAGAGGCAGGGTGAGGAGACAGCACAGTTCAGACAAGGAAGGGCACTGGTTACTCTCTTTAACCAAACTGTCGCTCAGCCCTGTGACCCAGAAAATGATCCCATCAGCTAGGCGTGGTGGCAATACCTGTACTCCCAGCACTGGGCAGGCCGAGGCAGGAGGATCACTGCGAGTTCAAGGCCAGCCTGGGCTACAGAGTGAAGTGAGTTCAAGGCCAGCCTGGAATACAGTTCGAGACTCTATCTCAAAAATAGAGAGACAGAGACAGATATCAGTGATAGGATTTGCA